TGTTCACATAGGTCATAATGCACCTGTTTACCCCGCCGCCCGGCCTCCCCCCTATAGTCTATGAAAAAATAGACTGTTCACAGACCCTCTATTTTCTCATGTCCGTCGAACGTGCCTGATAAAAAACCTCGGGGCATTTATTACATGTTTTTGAAAAGAACAAAAAGAGAAATAAAACAACGTCTGTGTACAGGCTAGTTCACAGATCCTTTATTTTATCTTCAAAGGCGTCGAGCGCGGGTGATAAAATATAAGCCTGTATAACGGAGGATTTATTGACCGCCAGCGCAAGGGGGATCGTGCTCGAAAAGAACGGAAAGAGAGAAAAAAAACAACGTCTGTGTACAGGCTAAAGTAAAAATGGTGAATCGTCATGATGGAGCAAACTCTTTTAGCTCTCTTGGTAAGCAGCACTGAAACGTTGGTGGATCAGGTAGAGATCCGGCCATTTTCACATCTCTTCAAAGTACGCAAGTCTTAGATCTTTGCAATCAATCAATTAATCTTTCTTTATTATTCTTTTAAAATATTTCCCCGATTCTGATTGGCTAAAACCACACGCATGATTCACCATAACCAGCTACTCATGACCAAATTTGGAAGAATTTTGTGATTACTCAGCTGATGACGTCAAAAGTGCAGCTTCCTTGCAGGTTAATGCTCCGTTAACCGAGAAGACCTTGGGAACGGGTTGAGTTGTTTTGGTTGTGAAAACAAAAATGGCAAACATTTCACTCGTTTCAAGAGTAACAACTATACGAAATAAAAGCTAAGAACATCGCAAGAACGGCAAGAAGACAACTCGAAGGTCGACATCTGCTATTTGGAGAATATTTGCGCAGCTGAACAACCCTAACCGTACACTATCTAAGATGAACTTAATATCGATGAAGTTAAGCATGTTTTAGCTATGTTTTAAAACTAGGAATTATTTTGAATAAATAATAAAACATACGACGAATTATGGAGATCGCGACGGATAACACCGTCCTCCGCCTGATTCATTAATTGGTAATTATTTCACACTGTATGAGGCATTTACACAAGTGTACGTAAGTAGGAGAACAAAGTGGTTGTATCATAATTGTGCATACGCGATGCTGGGAGCAGGACATCGGGAATGCTATCAGTTTCATTTCTCTCTCCTATTTTTGCGATTAGAGGCTCGTAGTTAAGTCTGAACCAGTGTACTCTTTATCATTAAGAAAAATTTGGAGTCATGCTGTTTTGTCAAGTTGTACCACGTGACCAACGGTTTTCTTTTACGTGCCGTTTACTATTCATTACTTCTACACAAAAATAAGTTGTTTTTAATATCAATTTAGTCCATTACGTTATTTTGGACAGTTTATCTGCGCATTCCTTATTTAACATTTTCCAACCTGCATCTCTTGTCCCAGTCTCTTGGTCATGATCTAAGAACAAGAAAACATGAATCAAGTAATTTCAGAAGTGCAACACTTTGTGAGGGTCAAGTGGAAAAAATTGCAAAGAGGCCAGCGTGGTGATTTTAGACCGTGGTTATTGAACACAATCAACAGCGATTTTAAAGTGTTTTTAAAGTGAGGGCACCAAATATATAAGCTTATATACCGTAAAATTCCGAAAATAAGCCCCTCCAAATATATGCCCCCCCCCCCCAAACAGGTAACGCGAAAAACCCTCCGTTAAATCGCCCCTCCAAATATAAGCCCCCGGGGGGCTTGTACTTGGAAAATTGCCCTCAAATACAAAGTAAAACAAAGCAAAAACGGCAAATTTACCTCCAACTATAGGGCTAGCCCAATCGATTTTGAAACGCAAATTTCCCTCCGTAGATAAGCCCCTCCGAATATGAGCCCCTCAAAAAGGGCCTTTGAAAAATATAAGCCCCGGGGCTTATTTTCGGAATTTTACGGTATTTTTTTTCGTGGGGGGGGGGGGGAGAGGGGGAATTGGGATTTATGGATGATGTTTTTGTAGTACCAAACAAATTAAGACATCAGAAAACTTTTTTGAGAGAATTCATTCCAATATTTTCTCCAAACAACTTGACGACAGAAGTTTATGTTAATGCCAGTAATTTACTCATGAGCTATGACCTCAGGCACATATCTGTATATTACTACTGCAAATACGTATTCAGTTTTCTAATCAAAGTATTTCATGCTACTTCTTTCGTTTGAACGCAGCAAGCATAACATACATGCTTAACGTACTCCACGGTACTAGTACACTAATTGCACAAAGACAGCAACGAGGTCAAGTTTCCTAAAAGCAAAAAATACAGGTATTTTGTAACCGCATACTTTACCTCCCTCTCCGAAGGATGTTGTTGTTGTTCCATCTGCTACTAGTGTCACTTCAATTTGCGCTGTTGCCGTTGCGGCCCCGGCCGTGGCTTCTAGTGTTGTTGTTGTTGTTTTTTGTTCTGGAAATGATCAAAGAGGTACGTATGCTACAAATTAAAATGTCTCATAATTACCGTTTCACAAGTCTTTTTAGGAAGAAGGGTGAACTGATTGTCCCCAAATCTTACTGACTTTGGTGGTAGTTTAGTTAAGCGGAAGAGGGCACCTATTTTGAGAGGAAAAGAGAGATCTCATGCTTTCTTAAACTGTCTTAAACTTGTGATATGGCACACGCTTGAGGCCAAGCGATACAGTCTCCCAGATTTTTGAAGCTGAGAATTTAAAAGACATCTTCACCTTAAGTTTGTGGATACTCTTGGCCTGAAATAATTCAGTTTACTGACAAATCTTGTATCATAAATTGTGCATACACGATGCTGGAGTCAGGACATCGGGAATGCTCTCAGTTTCATTTCTCTCTTCTATTTTTCGATTAGCGGCTCGTTATTAATGAACCAGTGTGCTCTTCATCATTAAGAAAAATTTGGAGTCATGCTGTTTTGTCAAGTTGTACCACGTGACCAACGGTTTTCTTTTACGTGCCGTTTAGTACTCATCATTTCCACACAAAAATAAGTTGTCATATCAATCTAATTCATTACGTTATTTTGGACAGTTTATCTGCTCATTCCTTATTTAACAATTTTAGCTAATTTTCTAACCTACATCTCTTGTCTCTTGCATTTGGTCATGATCTAAGAACAAGAAAACATGAATTAAGTAATTTCAGAAGTGCAAATCTTTGTGAGGGTCAAGTGGAAAAAATTGCAAATCTGCAAAGAGGCCAGCCCGGTGATTTTAGACCGTGGTTACTGAACACAATCAACAGCGATTTTAAAGTGTTTTGAAAGTGGGGGCACCAAATATATACATTTTTTTCGTGGGGGGGGGGGGGAATTGGGATTTATGGATGATGTTTTTGTAGTACCAAACAAATTAAGACATCAGAAAACTTTTTTGAGAGAATTCATTCCAATATTTTCTCCAAACAACTTGACGACTAAAGTTTTTGTTATTGCCAGTAATTTACTCATGAACTATGACCTCAGGCACATTTCTGTATCTTACTACTTCAAATACGTATTCAGTTTTCTAATCAAAGTATATTTATATGCTACTTCTTTCGTGGAACGCAGTAAGTATAACATACACGGTTAATGTACTCCGCGGTACTAGTACACGTATTGTACAAACACAGCAACGCGGTCAAGTTTCCTAAAAGCGAAAAAGACAGGTATTTTGTAACCGTATACTTTACCTCCCTCTCCAAAGGATGTTGTTGTTGTTTCCGCTGCTACTAGAATTACTGTCACTTCAATTTGCGCTGTTGCCGTTGCGGCCCCGGCCGTGTCTTCTAGTGCTGTTAATGCTTTTCGTTCTGAAAATTATCAAAGAGGTATGCTGCAAATTAAAATGTCGCATTATTACCGTTTCACAAGTCTTTTTAGGAAGAAGGATGAACTAATTGTTCCCAAATCTGACAAATCTTACTGACTTTGGTGGTAGTTTAGTTAATCGGGAATAGGGCACCCATTAGAGAGGAAAAGAGAGATCTTATCCCGGGCCCGGGGATCTTATGAGACGATACAGAGTGTTTTCGACGTTCATTTCATAACGTGAGCACTAAACTTACTCATTCTTGCCAGTAATTTGCCTGAATCTCTCGTTTGCACAAACGTTGTCTTTACGATCGTACAAGATTGACTTTAAATTTCGCGCCTTTTATGCAGAATACCTATCGCCCGTAATTTACATGTCAACGACTATTAAATAATTCAAAGCCAACAACGTTGTTTATTGTTTCAGTTAACCTCGTTTGTTTCATTTTCTCTTGCGTTATGAACGGTATGCATTAAAATATTCAGCTCCCTTAGGAATGTACTTGACACCGGCAGCTGCATGAAGAAAATGTACACGCGCGTGTTCACGCATGCCGTGGGCTCAGTAAGTTGCCTGATGGGATGATGGGATTTGTTGTCATAGTTACAAGAGCCAGAAAATGGCGAAGTCGTTCGCTTGAGTTTTGTGCTTTTCTTTCACTGGATTAGGCGATAAAGAGTTAATTTTGTCGCTGAAGAGAGATCAGTTTTTATTCTCAATGTAGAACTATAGATATTTGGTCGTTTTTAAAGGAAAACGTTTTGCGATGGACAAGTTCTGATCGAAATTTTGATCATGGATGTTCAACCTCAGGTATGTAAGCTTGAATTTAGACTGTCGTACATGTAGTATTCTGTTTATATGTACGACAAGTTGTGGAGTATTTTGCCCGAAAAATGTAAGATTGTTGATTTGTGTGAAGAATAATGCTTACGTTTGTTTAAGGCCATGTACGTTTAAAACTAAAATTCGGGGGTATTAGAAATTTCCCGCTTTCTGCAGTAATTTGATGAGGGCAACGAGTTACATTACACCGTTCTGGCACCACGAAGAATGTCTATTCAAATTTGTGCAGATGGAAAGCTACCTCGAAATCATAAAAAGCTCCAGAAATAGGAAACTTGAGGAAAACTCTCTTGCAACTTGTTTATTAAAGTACAGCGTGTAAACTGAATTGGAAGTGTCTTAAAGTTATAAACTTGATTTTAGCTTTTCTACGTTTTACTTTGACTCCAGATTTCATCAAGGCAAAATAAAGGAAGGAATCCACATTCCCCAGTCAGATTTCTTCCTCAACTTCCAGAGGTGAGTCTCTTCTTTAAAATTAATTTGTTGTTAAGGAAATGGGTATTAAACTGCAACATCATCGTGTTTTTTACTTCTATCAGAGATGCAATGTAAACTTCTGTCTCTTATGAAAATAATGACGATAGGACTGATTGGAGTCCAGTTTGGTCTGTAATCAAAGGAGTTACAAACAATATTAAACAGGACGACTGTGTAGCGGGAGTCTGATTTGTTTAATCACGAGTATGATTACAGACCAAATTGGATGACACAAAGTTCTGTTATCAATTAATCATAACTATAATAATTTGTGATATTTTAGGCTTTTTAAAATCAAAACACAAGAAATTCTGAGAGATTTTTTGTCCGCTGTGAAAAAAGCCATTTACAAGTAAGCATGTACCTGATGGTAACTGTACTGTCCAATAATTACTTAGTCATGATGCGTATTGACCTATTACACTGTCCTACAAAAATGTATTAGTATGTGTAATCAAATGGTGACGAGTGAAATTAGGGAATAATTTCACGCGTTTTGTCCAAATCCTAAAATTTATTAGAATAAAATTATTAGGATTTGGACAAACGCAAGTGAAATTATCCCCTAATTTCACGAGTATACCATTTGATTACCTATTAATATCATGGGTGACGAATTACGTTGGCAATCTTGGATTTTTGACATGTTTATCCTGGATCGTATTGATCGAGAGCTCCTGCACTCTCTCGAACGTTTAGAGCTTAAATTTGGCTTAACTTCAGAGTTTTTCGACAAAATACCTGTTAGAATGACCTTCTTGATGTGCTCTTTCGTGTGTTCAGGTTTTCTAAAGCGTCTTTAACTGCCCTGACATCTTCATTCATGACATTTTAAAACTTCGTCGCCATCTTGACACCGAGACATACGTTAGGTTGCCATGGCAATTTAATTTCACATGTGAAATTACAAATAAACGCTGAAATTTCGCGCCAAAATTAAGGAATAATTCGTCACGTTTGATATTAGTGCTGAAATCAGGACAGTTGATAGTCAATCAGATTTGTGAATAGTTTTGTTATAGTTATGATTAGTATGTGTAATCAAATGGTGACGAGTGAAATTATTCCCTAATTTCACGAGTATACCATTTGATTTCCTATTAATAATTACATTAGCAATCTTGGATTTTTGACGTGTTTATCCTGGATCGTATCGATCGAGAACTCCACTCTCTCAAATGTTTAGACCTTGAATTTGGCTTATAAAGTTCAGAATTTTTCAGACTTTTTCGGCAAAATACCTGTTAGAATCCTTCTTGATGTTCTCTTATGTGTTCAGGTTTTCTGAAGCGTCTTTCTATGCTCTGACATCTTCATTCACAGCATTTTAAAACTTTGTCGCCATCTTGACACTGAGACGTATGGAAGGGTTGCCATGGCAATTTTCTAATTTCACATGTGAAATTATAAATTAACGCTGAAATTTTGTGCCAGAATTAAGGAGTAATTTGTCACTTATGATATTACACTAGAAATACATGTATCTCAGAGCCTTGCAAGTTTGAGGGAGGAGTTAGGCTTGTAAAATGTCAGGGATGGGAGGGTAGGAGAGAAATGGAGTCAATTGTGTAATAACTATTGTAGTTTCAAAAGTTAAGGTACAAGTACTTTATATTTAAAATAAAAATACTGTGCATTAGTACAAATGATTTTTTTGTCCCTGTCATTAACTTACCTTTTTTAAAAGTGCAATATTTAAAGAAAAATATGCTGTAGTGAAGAGCAGTGAATTTTTTTGCTTTGGACAATTTAGACATGTTTTATTTTTGTGTTTAGTCATTGTTTGTTATCAAAATTATATTGTTATTCTAGACTCGCAGTAAACCTGCCTGGCAGCAGACTGCTCCTTCATTCCAGCTTAGTCCAAACAAAAGAATTTCAGTGGATGTAGATGATGAAGGCTATTCTGCATTGGGTCAGTTTAAAGTATATACAGTCATAGACCTCTTACATAGCACCTTCTAAGAGTAGAAAAGGTGAAGCTGCCACTAAGGAGGAAAGTGGAGAGTTTAAACAGCATTTAGGTGGCAGTAATGTAAGCTGTCTGCTTATGAGAGTGCTAGTTAAGAGGGCTTTGATTGTACATAGAGAATTGAATAGCTAGACGTTTGCTTTAAAATTTAAGTAGTCTCCTTGACGTTTTTTGATAAGTGGAGAAAAATGTTTGCATTTTCATTAAAGGGGAGCTGTCTATTTGTTCTGAATTAAAGATAATCATCATAAGAAGTTGGGGATGGAAGCATACAATTTAAGAAGTGCTAGGAAACATCTATACGGACTAATAATACTTGTAACTAAGGATCAGACATTTCTGGAAGACTGCCCACCTTAACCCTCCCCTAAGCCAACATTAACACTTACCTCCCACTTAGTGCAAAATGTTGGCTTAGGGGAGGGGTAGGTGGGCAGTTTCCCAGAAACGTATAATGATCAGTAACTAGGAAGCCATGATGAACTAAAGTGGATCACTGACAAAATGACTTTTAGCAGAAACAGTAAGAATCATACTTAAATTTGCTTTTAATATTAATTCTTGGCATGGCCTGCTTTTGTGTAGTTCTTCATTTATCACCTGTAATGGAAAACCAATGGGAAAATAAAATTATTTCCAGTTTAATAAAAAAAATAATGGAAGGTGAAGAACCAGTATGTCTGTTACTTAACAATTAATGAATGAGGCTGAGTATCTTATGAAGAATTATGGAGATCGAGGAGGGTGTTATCCATCGAGGCCGTAGGCCGAGGCGGATAACACCCTCCGAGATCTCCATAATTCTTCATATGATACGAAAGCCGAATTCAATAATTGTTTTATTATTCATTCAAAATAATTCCTAGTTTAAAAACATGGCTAAAACATGCTAACCTCCATTGCTCCATCAATGTTAAGTTCATCTTCGATACTGCACGTTTAGGTTTGTCCAGCTCTGCAAATATTATCCAAATAGCAGATGTCGCCCTTCGAGTTGTCATCGTGCTGTTCTTGCCATGTTTTTAGCTATGTTTTCGCCTAGTTCTTACTCTTGAAACGAGTGAAATGGCCGCCATTTTTCAAGTCCACAACCGAAACAACTCAACCTCGTCCCCAGGTCTTCTCGGTTAACGGTGCATTTTTGACGTCATTTCCTCGTTAAACACAAAATTCTTTCAAATTTGGTCATCAGTGACTGCTTATGGTGAATTAAACGTGCGCTTTTAGCCAATCAGAATCGGGAAAATATTTTAAATGAATAATAAATGTCTTTAATGTGCAGTGCTAATATAAGTTGTCTAATTTATTGTTATAATTGATGCTGTTAGGTTATGGGAAAAAAGCAAAACATATGCGAAGTAAAACATGGGATGTTGGAAATGGTAGAGTTTCACCACCAAGTCCCCCTGCAACAAATGGCAAAAAGATAGCATCATATGCACCTAAGAAAGACAGAGAGTCATTCCGTAGGGCTCTTGTTAGCATTATCAGGTAATTTTTCTAGGCATACAATTTGATTTTCAAGTACAGTAGTACAGTAGAAATGTAAATTGTTGTGTATTGTTTGTTTGCAGTTTTAAATTAAGGTCTGTACTGTGCCATTGCTGTCTTGTTCATTTTGTTAATTAGTGTCAACTGTGCATGCTTGTTTCCCATGAAACATAAGAAATTGCTTTTAAATAGCAAAATCGCGACTTTGACTAAAAAAAATATGCCCTCATACATATCACGGGTAATTGCAATAATATTATTAGAAATGTCAACTTTAAAAAACTACAGGCTAACAAGTTTTCAAAAACCATGATTGTGATACATTTTGTTTTCTTCAAAGTTTGTCCATAGATTCAACTGCTTTTTTTTTATGCTCAGTTTTTTTTATACTTTTTTAATGTTTCTAGAGGTTAAAAAAATTTTTCCACTGAACTGGTTGCAGGTCCCTGTGACTCGTTGAATTTTGATAAAATTTTGTGACACAGCAGAGACATATGTTTTATACTGTTCTTCTCTGTGTTTTTCTTACAGGCAAAACGAGGGAACTCCTCCAGTGCGTCCATCATCAGCGGGAGAACTGCCTCCATTGGAGAGAGCTGGTTCCCCTACCAGCGCTGAAAAGGATATCTTGGTATGTTACCTATCCCATGAAGGTCATTTAGAGAGATTTTGCTTGTGATGTTTTATATGAAAACTAAAAGTTGAATGCTGTACTTCTTTAGGAGCAGTATATATGTAACAGGTCAAATTTGATTTCAGGTTAAATTTTTTTAACATTACATAGGTTGATTCTCAATTTTCTTTGTCTCCTAGCCCTGATTATGCATGAATTAGGGTTAGAAACAAAGGAAATTGAGAATCAACCTAGGTTAAATTAAAATTAACCTAAGATCAAATTTGACCAGTAACATATACACAATAATAATTCCTTACAATATCAATAGTACATGTACATGCATGTATATTGACCTAATTTACATTAGTACATTTTTAATAGTTTTTTTTCCCGTATTTGTTGAAATCTTGCAAGGGGAGTTTGCCTGCTAACATGTACAGCTGTACAACTGTATATTCTACAGAAAGATAGTTACTGCTTTTTAAAAAAGGGAGAGAAAAAATATGATTGGTTACCATTCTTTAAGAGAAAGCAAAGACCTCTTTGGGGAGGTCTGGCCTTTGGGCAAAAGCCGCCATTTTATTAATCTTAATATTGGCCTCAGCTAATCAACCATGAAATTATGTGCAGTAATTAACACTTACAATTTTGATATGAATTTAAATAGATCCTCATGGGAATCTTTCTTGTTTGTTTTACCAGCGTTATAACTTTTACATTTACCATGGAATAGACACAGAGCATGTGGCTCCCATGGAAGACTCATGGCTTGATCATGTTCTACAACTTGTTCCACAGAGTCTGAAGGTAAGTGCGATTCCCCAGGTTGACCTCAAATCTCAATCTAATCCTTTCTCTGTAGCTTTAAGTACATTTAGCTTTTAAAAGCCATAGAACAGTGCAGGGCATTAATGGAGAGAGTGTTGGGGAGCGGGGGGAGTTCGTTAAAATGAGCATGCTGTCGATCTCAGGTTTGTTAGTCAAATGACTTCGAGCTACCGATGTATAAGGATTCTTTACCTTCTTTTTTCTTTATTCTACTTGATAATCTCTATCAAAAAAGTATACAATAGTTATCTCCAAACTTGTGTCTCTAAGCAGAGCAGAGCTAGAATACATACCACTCCCAATTTAATTTCAAACAGTCACTTTAAAGACAGTAAGGCAGGCAAGCTACAGTGTATATGCAAATAGTCAAATCTATGGTACTTTTGCTTCAGTCTGTTATAAAAATTGTGACCTTCTTTTGGAAAATGTAAGTTAACTAAATGGCCTTTGTTTGTAAGTGTTCATCAGTGTACTTAAGGTTTTTCTCAATATTCATGCAGTATGGGCTTGAAGTTAATTAAGTGTAGACTTAAATAATTTAATTTTATTAACTTTCAGGATGGATTTGATGTGTGTATAGAAAATCTTTCAGATGAAATGAAAGAAGATTACTTACTAAGTGTAAAGAAGGCAATAGGTAAGGAAATATGCAGGAAATACCTGGATACCAACACATACTTGCAATGTATTTTGTTTCTTTCTTGTGTCACACTTCAATACATTATTCTAGTCAAAGGTGTAAGACTTACACCCAAGTTTTGTGATAAGTTAGTGGAACAAACTTGTTCAAAATTTATTATTAGCACAGCCACATATATAAAGACAAAGTTTGGGTGGGATTGAATTTATAGCCTGCGAATTAGTGCACAATATCGTGTTCGAATCCCGTAGAGTCGCAAAGAAATATGTCGGCGTTATTGATTGGCTATTTTCTTTCGCAGTTTGTGATTAGTCCGATTTGAATTAAGCGTTGACAGGCCAAACATGACTCATAGCTCGTGACCAGAGAGATTGAGCTCGTGATAGTGTGAAACGTGACTTTAGAGACCCCTAGAGTAGCTTGAACAACAGATGTTTTTCTTCCTCTCTTTTTGCGTAATTTATACAGTGCGTGGAGTATTCTACAATTTGACTGAGCAAATTTTTTTTTGCCGCTTTGAGTCTCACCTTTAGCTACATTTAGAGGATGTGAAGCTGGTCTGTTTCATACATATTGAGTAATTAGTTCCTGTAGTTTATTTTTTGGCAAATGTTTTCTAAGACGATTTGATCACAGATGCATAAATGATTTTCTTTTACCTCTGATTAAGCCTTAAGCTTCTTTATTGCGGCTAAATAACCTTAGTTTCTTTGGTTTTCAACGAAACGCTTGGACGTGAACAGCTACATGTGTGTAGTTTTTTTTTCTATCGTGAATAACGTGATGATTTCTTCATTTGTTTTGACTCTAGAACTGTCAGCTAAATTACAGAATACGCAGTAGTACATCTGCAGCGATTGGAAGACGCTGGGAAACCAGCCGGCAAATTTACTAGCAAATTCTGGCCTTGAAGGAATTATCTCAAAGCGTTTTTTTGCTCAGAAGACGGCTCTAAAGTTCGAACTACTCTTTCATTGTTCACTGTAAACAATCCTTGCCAACTCCCTTCTGTGAATTTTGACATGTCACTGCGCCCAACCGTCACGCACACGTAAAAATAAGGCCAATCGTGCGGCTCGTAAGAAACCCGTAAGAAACCCGCCTATCAGAAACGCTCACATATGTCCTTGCGACTCTGCAGGATATTAGAACGAGCTTTTGTGCACTAATTCGCAGACGGACTATACAAAGGGTTTAGATGAGTGCGTGGGCCGGCTGCAACGCAGGCTATGAATTTATAGATAGTTACAAAACTGAATTTTGTCTAGCATGTACCCTTTTTTAATCCATGTGATGTGCTGTTTGGTAAGTTTCTGTTTTTTTGTGTGTAGTTGATTTTGTGCTGAGAGATCCACGAGAAAAAGATGATGACAAAAAAGAAGAAGTTCTGGATTACAAACTCGAGTAAGTGGAATTAATACAGCTTTAATTATAAATAATCGTTATTAGCATTATTAAAGAATATGCAAGTTTCAAGTTTCTTTCTACACCACGAACTTAGTAAGTGGAGAACAGCTAGGAATTTCTTTCTGTTTCGTTTTTCCATTAATTGTTTTCTAGGAGAGTAGCCATGGGTTGTGCTCATAGTAGCTTGGGGAATTCCCTGGCCCCAGGGGGGTGGGGTTTGCAAAGTTATTCCGTGCTCTCTCCATAATAAAATTGTGTTTTATGTTGATTACAATTTATAAACAAATGTACAGTTACTGGACAGGTGTTATTAATCCACTAGGCTGATGCAGGTTCCAAAGCCTTGGTACAGGTCATACGTCACTGCAAAGGCTGCTATGCAACAAGACCTGTTTGGAACCAACCCAACAATGGCTGCTGTGTTGGATCTTTGGTACAAAACTTTTGGGTGAGTGGAAAAAGTAAATTAACCCTTTAAACACTAAGATCAAAATTTGAAATCTCATTTGTTACTCCTATTCATTTCCCACAGATGTAGTGGGGAGAAGTTGATAAAGTATTTTAAAAGCAAATTCATCTTGTGTTTTTCATGACCACTTTGTTTTACAGAGCATTGATATTACAAGAGAAATTTGATGCTGATCACTCATAGAGCTTCGAGGGTTAATGTCATTTCTTTCTAATTCCTGAAGCATTTTAGGTGGTTGTTTTTTTTTTGCGTTTTATTTTTTAATACATTCTTTTTGTTTTAATATTTGTTTGCATGAAGTAACCTGAGGCTTGTGGATATTCATGATATTCAGTCGAGACCTGAAGCACTGGAGCTTGCCATGTTCCAAAATGTTGTTATGAGACACATAGAAATCGCCAAGGAAACACTCTTAAAGAAGTATGTATACTCAATGAGAGAATTATTCATTTGTCTTGTTTTCTCCCATGATTAAATGTATAGGTCCAGAAAATATCCATTCTCCCCCCACAGGAAGGATTGGAAATTCCTGGGGGCTGGGGGGTTCTCAAACGCCCAACAATTTAAGTAAATGTATGAAGCTTGACTGGAATTTCCAGAGAGGTGGGGAGTGGGGGATCTAATGAAAAATCCCTTCCTTGGGGAAGGTATGGATAATTTTTGGAACCACACAACACCGTTTACCATCTATTGAGCAGTCCCCTTCTCAAACAAGCCCCTCTTTTCAGGGGAAGGAAGTTATTTACTGTCTGTCCCCCCCCCCCCCTCCTTATTCCTAAATATATCTAGACTTTATCAACTTATGACAATATCACTGTTCTGTAACACTGATTCATTATGGTTTATTTACATGCTGGAAGTTCAGTTTTTTTGTTTTTGATCATTGGTTTCATGACGTCAAACTTCACTTCCCCGCGCTCTTCTACTTTTCATACCAGTTCTTTTATTATGGAGAATTGAGCATCATCTTTGCTAAATCAAATACGTTTCTCCCCTCAGAAAGCTGCCCTGTCTGCTCACACTTGCTTGAATTAAAATATCAAGCTCCCCCTTGGGAGCTTCATAGAGAATTTTTGGGATCTATATTTTGATGATTAACTTTGGTTTTTTATTTCCCAAAGGTGGTTTCCAGAAGTGCAAAATATCTACTATCAAGGAAACAAGCGCAAGCAAGTACCAAGCAACCAGAATGCTAAACGACTTGAGTCATTCTTTAATGCTGCGGCAGTATTGATGACTAATCAACTACAGATGTTGGCTCTTAATTCAATTGATGACTTCACCAAGTTGTTTTGTCCTCCACCTGTAAGATTTTGGTTTTGTTTCTATATTGGTGCTGAAAGAGTACTTATTTCAATCTTACAGTACATGGTAGTTTATCTGTAACCATGCGGAGATAAATGCACAGTCATGTTTCAATTAATTTACCAGTCTGTCAGTCAATCATGATCAGCTACAGTTGTGTGTGTGCAAATGTAGTTGGTACCCATTCATTTTATCTGGCAATTGGTTATTTGTTGCTAAGACAGTCAGTCAGTCTATAAGTTAATCAGGCAGTCAGTGAGTCTGTCAGTCAGTCAGCCAATCAGTCACTCAGTTAGTCATTGATATACTCCACTGACTCACTAACAGACTAGCTGACTTGCTGACTGACATGTATCAGTCAGCTTGTTAAATCAACCTGTCACCTTTAGTTTTTTAAAGTCAGTTAGTGAATCAGTCAGTCAGTGCCAAATCAGTCGGCATACAGCTGTAGGCTATTATAAACTGATATATGTACATGTATGCAAAGATGCCACTTCATCAATATATTTGTAGGAAATAGTATATATAGATAGTAAAACAGTTTTACTGAAATGTCTTTTTTGTTGTCTTACAACAGGATTCTGTCAGAGCTTTTGAACACCCTGGCTTTATTATGAGATTGGTATTGGAGGGTGACACAGTTAAATTTGAGCCTGATTTTAAAGACTTTGAGGTATTTATTAAATTTAATTCAGTTGTTTATCAATTAAAATTTATTTTAATGATCAACCCAATAATACAATGTAACAGGGTCTTTGTGATTTTTTAATTTAACTTTGTAACTGGTTGATTACTTTTCATCTTTAAATAATGGTGTGTTTGTGTTGGTGTACATGTAAATTCAAGGGGGTGGTTCTATGTCACTGTACATCTTTACAACATTATTTCGACATGCTTGAATCTGGATTATATTTTTAACTATACAATATTATTATGAATTTTTCTATAGCAGATTTTCATTTGATTAAGAGTTTGATTTATTAATATTACAGGTTGTTTTGTTGAATGTCTATGATGTTATGATCAAGGCTGTGATGGTTGTTCCAAGAGTTGAAACTAAACTTTATTCAGAATGGGTAAGTGTTTAGCAAGTACATTTACTACTAGTAATGAGTAGGTTAGACATCATTAATGTGATGTCTCCAGATCACTAACAATTCAATCAATAATATTATTTACTTATGTCAATTTTCTTTTTTTTTATCAGTCTGGAACAAAGAAGACTCTGAAACCAGTTGTCTCAGATGAAATTGTCAATGAAGCGAAGGCAAAGGTGTGTAATACTGCACCAGGGTGGGGGTGGGGGTGGGGGGTCATCAACAAATGTTTAAACACAGGGAGGCTCTGCCCCAAGGTTGTAACCCTCACTCTTTTGTATATACCATTTGTCATGTATGCCTTCTATTGACAAATGGTACCCCTTTCACAAACCTTGTTTAGAGCTTTGTGTCCCTTTTAACTGCATTGTCTTTTAAGTAGGAATCAATCACAAAAATAGAATGTTTTGCCAACTTTTAAAGCCATAAAATTCATCTGTTAGCCCTTTTGGGCCCATTTACATGTCCAAATGACAGTTTTCCCTCCCCTTTTATATACTTCCAATAGTGAAATCCCTTTCATGTACCTGAAGCCTGAAAGAAGTGCCCTTTCGGGCGAAGCCTTCCCGTATTGGCCATCATAAGGAGTTCCCTCCCCCCCGGGTACTGATGTTCACCTACATGTATAAAGCATTTCTTCACATGGCCAGCATCTATGCTAATTTATTGGAACACAAGAAACCATTTACCTGAGAAGAGTTCAACTCCCACAAGATTGCTAAATGGTACATCAACATGGCCGCTGTTTAATTTTTTTAGAACATAAGTGTGGGTCGCTGTGATGTCATGTGACGATGCTCTATGAAAATGGCAGAATTTGACTGAAAGCAAATTAGACATTATACTGTACCAATAAAACTGGGTTTGTTTAAAACGTTTGCATGCAGTTTGTTCCCGTAATATTCTTTAAACTATACTCGTCACTTTTCACTATGTGTAGGTGTGCATTTATTGTCATGATCTATGGAGTATTTTGAACAATTTTTCCACACCAGGTGAAAGCTGTAATAGCCAAGGAAATGGCTGGGCCCAAAGAACATTTAAAGTTTTACGACAAGTTCAAGGACCTCATAAGTAGAAAGGTGTTTATTAATTAAGGCTATTTTTGTTATGATTTTTATTAACTGATCACTCAGCTGTTTAGAGTCTGAAAATTTCCTATAAAGCTGTTTTTTATGATTGTCACATCACTTATTTTATTCTCATTGTGGTCACACAAACTCAACAAATGCAATGCAAAAATTTCACTTGTAGTTGGCTTGTTTGAATTTTATCCACATAGCACAGTTCAGGTGGCAAGTTTATCCCAAGCACACTGCAAATAATTCTGTAACCTTTCAAAGTTCTATTTATAAATCTTAATTGTTGAGTCAGTCTGGCACTACATAAACTGTAAGTATATCAAGCAGAGACCAAAAGTTACAATGACCTCAGCTTGTAACTCAGCATTTGCACTGGTAGCTTAGCTCAGATTTCTTTCCTAAGTCGCATTTAATAAATCACTGACTGAAAAGCATTATTTAAAAGTTGTTGTTCTCTTGAAGGCTGAAGCAGACATTGATCAGTTTATGTTGGAAGGGCACAAGTTTCCAAGGTTTGCAAAGGTAAAAAATGTTTCCTTGGAAATAGTAGCTTATGATTTCACTGCATGCACAAAAAATTTAATAATAAATATCATAATGTTCTTTATTTCTTGGAATAAGTTTCACATTGTATTATTATTTTGATTTTTTAGGAAGTGGAGAAGTATGCCAAGTTGGTTGATAGCATTCAATATAACTCTCAGAAGGTTTGTTTGCCAAAGCTGAACATTTTCTTATTATCCAAGGCAGATTTAGCAAAGACTTAGCAAAGATTTAGTAATGTGATGACCCTAATGCTTGGGAACTCTTATACAGAAAGCCATGTACTAACCAACTTTGCTTAACCTTACTTCAACAAGAGTTAGATAGAAAAAAACCCTGCTTGTTTTCCTTTCTGGGAATGTACAGTTCAACTTTAAGTGGTAATAGCACTCCCCAAAACTGCTATCAAGACAAGTTTACTCATCAACAATTTGACATTATTTACAAGGGTCTCTGATCCTTTGCCAGTTTATTTGGGGTAATGGACTGAGTAAAGGTATTATGGTCATCTTGACGCTGACAATCATCATTAACCTCACCATTATCATTTTCTTCATCATCAACAACATAATCATCGTGATAGCTATTTTTATCATCATCATCATCATCGTCATCAACCTTGTCATTGTTGTCATCATCATCATTGTTATAAACATCATTGTGATTATCATCTTCCTACTCTTTCAGGGTCCCTAGTGGGGTTCTTCAATCCCGTAGTCCCAACTCATAATTTCGTGCAATTCGGTAGTTTTAATTTTTGATTTTTGGCATCCAACTTCCATGTACACTTTCAAATCCTCCTCCTCCTCCTCCTTCTCATCATCCTCATCATTGTTAGCATGTTGAATTAGATTTGTAAACAAACAATATTTTTAACCCTCCACTAGTGACTAACATCAATTTTATTTTTCTCCTAATGATATCCATACATTGTCAAGAGATTAGGTCATGAGAATCAATTAAATGATCACCTAAGAGAAAATACTTTGATCTTTTGATCAAATTCTCTCAACTAATTTTTTAGGGAAATATATAGAGATCCATTTGGAGAATTTGTATGTGGATACTGGGGCTTAAAGGGTTAATGTTCACCTTATGCTGTACATGTACATAGGTTATAAGAGTTGGTATGTTTGAGCTGCACTGTGATGAACTGATCAGAGCATTAGCTAAGAGAGCTGACAGCTTAAGAACTAAACTGCTTCAGAGAATGAGCAAGGATCATCAGCTTCTCAACAAAAGGTAATGGACTTTAGGGCGATCATTACACGTTTCTGGCAAACTGCCCACCTACCTCTCCCCTAAGCCAACATTTTGCCCTAAGTGAGAAGTAAGTGTTAATGTTGGCTTAAGGGAGGGGTAGGTGGGCAGTTTCCCAGAAACGTGTGATGATCTGAAATATCAAGGCAGCTTGAATAATCAGGACTGTCACTAGGACAGGACTGTCAATTTGTCCTACCTTCTATCAGCGTAACCCCCGGCTGCTTTCATAGGAAAGGAAGGAAAAGAGAACCAAGAGAACCTCCCAGCCATTCATTTTCTCACCTAATGATTACATAAACCCAGTAATTTGAAAATGCCGTGACATCCATAAAATATGTATGAGAATTTCACTTTTTCTAGTATATCATCCAAGTTATTGCATACTAAGGAAATATATTGATCATAGGTGTTGGATATGAGAATATCAACTACAAGGAAGCACAAAAACCATCAATTTGTTTCTTGCTAGAAGTGCTAGCCTTGTGTCAAAGCTAATCTAGTGATTTAATTAACCCTTTCATTGCCAGAGTGCTTGATGGAGTTTTGAAAGGTGACTGTAACTTTTGCGTTTGTGGACGAAATCCTATGATGTGACCATTCAAATGGAAGCTCCCTGCCTGTACTTACACATGGTACTTTTTGTTTTTCAAAATGTTAGAAAATGAAATTTGGAAATCTGCTCGAAATTTGCCTTTAACTATGTTTGGCAATGAAAGGGTTAATTTATACATTGTACTTTGTAGTTTGTAGGTTTTGTAACTAGGATTCCACAATTTTACTTTGTTGTAGGCTTTGTGAAGAGTATGAGAAAATAGCAGAAAAAGCCTTAACATCTCCTGCCAACACTGAGCATCTCATGGAACTCAAGGTACAGCTTATTTTTTTTTTAATTCAATTTGATTTTTTTAATTTTATAAGCCACGCAATGTTACAAATTGAAAAAAAAAAAAGGAGAGGAGAGGTGAGGAGACCTAACAGAAACTATAGGAGTTATGAGAGGTTAGGCCTCCTCAAACTTTGGCATTAACTGCGTTGAGCTCAGATGAACTCAGAACAGCTAGAACACTGCTATTGGCATTGAGGTGTGCCACAAACAAAGGAGCAGTCATTTAATTTTTTTCTTAATGTGAGGATTTTTGTTCCTTGGCCATGAAACCATAGCCTGGCACCAGGCTCTGTTGTGGGGAATCATTAAAGACAAAAAATGGGGTGAAACAGCAACAAAAACGGCGGTGAAGCCAGCAGAGACTGAGTGGTGTCCTTATTCCCTTTTCCAGATCGCTAGACTACTGCCTGGCTCACCATTGTTCACTGATTTCTCTTTTTTGCCTTTTTTCCTGTTGGGGAGCCTAATCCCAGGCCATGAAACTGCGGCTGAATAGATAGTTTTCCTAACACTGAGTAGTGCATGCGCGCAAAACATCATTTTGGCGGCAAAATGTGATAGCTGTCACCATTCTACTATGAATTTTAGTGAGAATGTTGTAGTAGCAAAAACAAGTTATCAGATGTTAGAAATTTGGTCATATAGCGATTGGGAGATCTAGAGGGCTTTGTCTCCTTCAACGGAACTGAACGTACTAACTTTTGTGGTCAGAAAAGTACAATGAAGCTTTCCGGGGTGTCTATTTTAGAGGGAGAACGGGCGAGAAAACTTAAAATTAAATGTCGTCCTCGAATCTAAAGCTCTCTAATAACTTGCTTGTCCAGCCCCAATTATTCAAAAGGTGATAATGCGATCCACTTAAAGGGAACCTCCACTTCAACAAAAACATAACTTTAAATCACAGGAAATAACTGTTACAGTCAAGTCAATCTAAAATATTTTTAAAGAAAGCGTTTGTATCCGAAAGAAATAACTTTTAGATTCGCCTATTTTTGTTTTCAAATTTTGTGGGCGTCGCCATCTTGAATAATTGCGAAGTGTTACGGTTGCCCTATTGTTATTAAACAAAAGCTCTTTGTGTCAGAACAATAGAGCAACCATTACACGTCACAATTATTCAAGATGGCGGCGCCCGGGAAATTTGAAAGTGAAAATAAGCGATTTTAAAATTCACTTTTCTTGATATAAACACTTTTTTTAAGAACAAATTTCGAACAAATTTGTTTATCAACATAATTTTATTCGATTTAAACTTATTCTGTAGTAAGAGTGGAGGTTCCCTTTAATAAATCTCCTTCAGGCTGCTTATTGTTACATATCAATAATGTCTATGTATTTTATTTTATTTTTAGAACTACATTGAGCAGGTTGAGAATGAAACTATCTTTGACCTTGAGAAAAGACTTGTTGACACCAAGAACAGACTTGTCTTTTTGGTAAGCAAAATTGCCATTTGGTAATTCAATATAATTATTATGGTGTTCATGTAAAATAGTAGTCAAAATGGGCTCAAATTTTTCAAGGATTTCATGTGGCTGTGTTGTAATGAAATGCGTGTTTTTTATTTTTCCTGTAGGTGGATTATGCATCTTTCTCACCAGCAGACATGAGACTTAATAACAGCGTGTTCCAGTGGCACTTTCGTATGCCCGAGGTTTTCGAAGAACACAAAAAGATCATCAATGCAAACCGTGTTCAGTATGAGAACAGCCTTAAGGTACTTTGAATTGACTACAATTATTTTGTTTTCTTTAATCTTTTTGCAGTCAACTCTCTTTAAGACAGACACCTATGAGGCTGGCACTAATAAGGGCGCTTTTCATTTGTCAGAACTCACTGGCCAGACCCAAGTCCTGTCATAGTGACAATTTCACTATTAATCAAAACTATCAAACCAGATCAGTCAAATCCTAATTAGGACTAGTGTGCAGAGAGGAGATAGTTTTTTTTTTTAGCAGAAACACTTGGAAAAGCCGGTTTCATTGTCAAAATGACTGGTCTGGCAGTGGTCCGGCTAGCCACTTCTGTCAAGTGGAAAGTATCCTAATAGAGATGTTCGTCTTAGAGAGAGTCAAATAAAAAGAGTAAAGGAAGGCAGGGACCAACTCTAGGTGTCCGTTTTACGGAGGTGTCCATTACGAGGGAGTTGCCAGTAATAAAGTGTCTGTGTAATTTAAGCCTGATCATTCTTCTCCGCCTTCAGCAACACTGGAACTGTTAAAATGAGTGGCACAACATTACAAGATATGGTCACCCTTTTAAAAGTCTTTTCTTCACCTAGATGCGGCGTGAGCGGTTTGTGGAAGAGTTGGAAAGTTACTCTAAGCAGCTTGAAGAGTTCCAATCATTTGGAGACATGCAGGAGATCCAGCGGTACCTTAAGAAAGCGCAAGCTCTGAACCAGAGGCTAGAGTCAGCAGCAGACAAGGTTTGATTGATTTTACTCGCTCATTCGTGACCTTAAATCTTTAAGTAACTGCAACATAGAAAATACAATTCTGTTCTAGCCTGCGCAGGCCATTATTTAATTGCTTTATTCATCACGTGCTGGTCTTTTTTAGATTCTTGCCTTTAACCAAGAAGAAGAAGCTTTTGAATGGGATGTGACGTCGTATCCTCAGCGTCAACAACTGATCAACACCTTGAATCCTTACTTGAAACTTTATGAAACAACTGTGGAATTCCAAACCAAATACAAGTAGGTGGAAAAGTTTAACTCCTTCTTTCATATAGTAGTTTCCTACTAAAAACACCAAGAGAAGAATTATTTGTAAAGCAATCAGCTTGATGATCATTTCCTATATTCTCATGACTATTGAGTTTGATAGGTAACGATGTTGCTAGGAGAACGTAGATTCTGGTCATCGCTTAAATTGTGTTCTGTTTTTAGGGAGTGGATGGAGGGACCTTGGGGAACAATGGACCCAGATAAAGTTGATGGCGAGACTGGAAACTTCTGGCGTGCTCTTTATAAGCTGGAGAAACAGTTTACTGAAGTACCAAATGCACAGAAGATTGCAGCTAGGGTAAGTAAGATACTTTACTCCTTGTACAGTTGAACCCTCTTCAACGGCCACTTTGGGGACAGAAGAAAGTGGCCATTGTAGAGAGGTTTAAACAAGAGTCAATGTACGGACTGTCCGCCAAAAAAGTGGCTGTTGTGGAAACGTGGCCGTTAGTGGAGGTTTGATTGCAGGATCTAGGGGAGGAACACGGGGGGGCGGGCCCCCCCTTATTTTTAGACCAAAATGAGGCCCGAAGAGCCGAAAAAAATTTTTTTGAGGCCTGTCCCCACCCCCTATCTCAGGGTCTGGATGACCGCTCCACCACCCCCTTATGTGAAGGTCTGGATCTGTCACTGGACTGTAATCAGTTTGAAGGAGAGAGAGAGAGAGAGAGAGCTCATGCTTCTCAAATTGTATAGCATAATTTTTTGTACTGATTTGGTCATAGACATAGACATAGACTTAGAGAGAAAGTTTATTTTACCACGAGGTACACAGGAGTCGCAACTCGTTAAAACGCTTAACGTGAAAAAAAAAAAAAGAAAGGTCGAAAAACTACTAAAGAAATCAATTAATTAGTTACAAACTGCCGGTCAGGAATAATTATTTTTTACGTACAAAAAATTGCTATGATAATTGTAAATAATTTGTTAATTATGTTTGTTATGGTTACAGATGAAAGCCAAGGTGGATGAGTTTAAAGAGCACCTCCCCTTGGTTCAGGTGCTGTTCAACCCAGGCCTTCGCGACCGTCACTGGGAGCAGATGTCTGAGATTCTGGGGTACCCTCTTAAACCTGATGAAGACACTAACCTTGCTAAAATGGTGGAGATGAACCTCGAGCCATACCTGTCCCAGTTTGAGACCATCAGTGAGGCGGCTAGTAAAGAGTTCTCTCTTGAGAAAGCCATGGAGAAGATGGTTCGCGAGTGGGATGAGGTATGTAGTGATAAACTGGATACTGATTCATTTGGTGGATAACTATTTTAAACTTTGGGATACTGTTGCCTCCTTTATTGAACCTTTATCGCTTGTTACAAAACTCTAACGGATACAAGGCAGGCGCTTGGAAGTAGTGGGCGAAAGAGAGAACGGGTGCGCGCGAGGGAGACACACGAGGGGTGAGGAGCTCCCTCTCCCCTCGCGTGTCTCCTTCTCGCGCGCCCGTTTTTTTCTTGTGCCCACTACTTCCAAGCGCCTGCTACGCAGGCCAACAAGATATCCGAACAACGTCTAGCCTGCGAACCGCAGACGTATTTCCGGTCGTCGTTTGTTTTTCTTGGCGGGTGAAACTAGAAACTAGAGCCGAAAAAACCGGATGCTTTCGCATGATAAACTAAGTGACGTCTTTACTGGTAAGCTGCCTTCGATTGATTTCTTAACTCGTTTCACTGTTCTCTGATTTCAGATTGAGTTCGTCATGATCCCTTACCGTGAGACTGGTACTCATATCTTGTCCTCGATCGATGATATCCAGACCTTGTTGGATGATCAGATCGTCAAAACACAGACAATGAGGGGATCACCATTCATCAAGCCATTCGAGACTGAAATCAAGTAATGATGAACAGCTCTAGATACTGTCAAACTAAGAAACTAAGAAGATTGTGAATAGGGAGTCTTGTTCATATTTTGACCAACTATCACGTCGAGCAAACACCTCAGTAATACCGTTCTAGTATCTTATGCTTGATTGGCTCATTCGGCGTGACGGAATAACATTCTAGAAATATTTCTGGTGATGGTTTTTGTAATGTGTCAATCCAAGTGTCCTGCGCAACAACCCCGTTCGCATGTTTCTCTCTAACTCGTCCTCCGGGGCAAGGATGAGTAGATGCCAGCGCACATTACTGACTTATCGTCAGCTTGCTTAAAGATGTCGCAAATAGTGGCATAATATTGTTCTCAGAGGAATGCCATCTGTAGATTTTTAGAGTTAATTCAGTTTTACCAACTTTGAGACTTTTCAAAAAACGTCTTTATTGCGGAAGATATCATGTACTAATTACACTGCTAAACCTCAATCGTTTTATACTATTCTAGGGAATGGGAAAGTAAATTGATGCTGACACAAGAAATCATTGATGAATGGCTAAAAGTGCAGGCCACATGGTTGTATTTAGAGCCAATCTTCAGCTCCCCTGATATCATGGCTCAGATGCCTGAGGAGGGAAGGTCAGTACCCATTTTTACTCCTTAGTTCCCTGTTATGTCCTGG